ATGGACATTTAACATTTTTGTGATTTCTACAATATAGATTGACTTAATACTAGTACCTAATTTCAGCAGTAAGATTAGATCCAATTATCAGTTCTTCAGTATTGAACAGAACCTTTTGTGTTTGAACTTCCTGGATGCCATAGAATCCGACCCATAAACCATCTATGTAGATGTCTAGCCTCTTTTCAGAATCAGAAAGGGTGTAACTTATATGGTACCATTTATTCAGCAAAAGTTCAGTAGCAAGCTCATCAATTCCAGCATTCCAATTCCAATTACCTGTGAAACGAGGATGCAGTTTATTGTTTGATGTCAACCAGAGTCCAGGAGTACGGGTGGAATCGTGAATTCCTAAAGGTGTGTATATTTTATTCAGTTTGAAAAGCGTCAGTTTACACTGGTAAAAAAAAATAAATTAAACAATAGTTACAACGCTTGTTGAGATGACAGAAAACTGTACATCATAACAAATGTTTAACCTAAGTCAAATTCGTTTTTTTACCAGTGTTAGACAACTAAATAATGCATTCTTGGGGATGTCCAGAACTCATTCTTGAAAAACCAACCTTTATAAAAGATGCAGGGCCAATCAGAACGAATACTTTTAGGTTTCAGATGTAGAGTCACTGAAAGCTCGTCCTTCACCGTGGGCAATTCAGCATGTTGCACGATTTTGTTTTCGGAGGCAGTTAGGGAAATGGTGTCTGATATTTCATAAAACTCTTTTACAATTACAATTTTCTTCATTTCTGGAACAGCAAATTGATCATCAAATATATAAATAGAAACTTTTAATAGGCAATTCGCCCTCGCATTTTCCTAATAAACCTCCATGTGGTACTCATGGCCTATTACTATATTTTAAAACTAAACGATTCTTTGTTTATCGAAAGTTTTACTATGTTAGCGACTTAATTGAAAAATTATGTTTCAAATTTCATTCAATGCTATTTTTATGTCTGTAGCTAAAAATTTAGTGGTATCAGCCGTTAAAAAACCTTGGCTGGCTGATCAAGACAGCTAAGGACTTGTATAAATCTTTTATCTTGGATAAATAATATATATTTATATCAAAAATCAATTATTTATTATCAAAAATCTAATAAGGATCATTCGAAAGGTTTTGAATTTTCTTTTAAAATAGAAGATTATGAATACTATTTTACCAAGTCTTTTTTCTTTGTAATACATTCCCAGCTGATAAAACAACCTCTCAGATGGCGCTGAACTTGGTGGTACTGCTAAGTAAATTCTTGCTTGCACAGCAAAACTTGGTAAAACTATTTTTTTTTTTTGATTTTACTAAACAAGTGGATAAACTTTTCCATTCCTGATTTTAAGCAATTGAAATAAAAAGTTAGCTAATAAAATTCTCAACTGTTTGATATCAAAAAGATACATTTATCTTTGTTAAAAAACAAGACTTCTGAATTTTTTTACAAATCGGCTTCATCACGATAAAAATTTATTGTGTCCTTGTTAGCAATTTTACAAATAATTAATAGGAGTAATGCTATAAGTAATAATATATAAAATTTTGTTTTTTTTTTTTAATAGTTATTATTATATATATTCATCATTCGGATAAATAGATTATAACCATAATAGAAAGTCATTTTGGCTATTATGGCATCATTGCGTCTTTTTATGCATTTATATTTGGGAAGTTACTTTTCTTTTTTAGTGTTTCCATAATTTGCTCACTTATTTCAAAAAACTTTTAGGAAATGATTTAATCACTGCATGTTCAAAAGACACCAATACCAGAAGATCTACCATCTGACACAGAACTAACACTCTTATCATTTTCAACAATCGGAAAAGAAATTCTACCATCTGGGGAGAATAATACGAACAAAAACTAATTAACATTACTAGGATCTAATGTAAGTTAAAGAATAAAACATCCATATTAAGTGGTTAGTGTATCCATCATCTAAATCGATTATATTATAAATTAAACAAACCAAAAAAAAATTAAAGTCTTCTTTAAAATATTTACGATGTAAACATAAATATGTTCATGTGATACACATTACATAAAGTTTTGTAATGTAAGCTTGAAATAACAAGGCCGTGCTAAGTTTTAGACTAAATAGTGCAAGTTTATTACGATTTTACAATTCTATAACTACTTCAATGATACTACTATAGCCAAACCTTGTCGCAGAGGATGAACGGAGCACATAAGAAATTTTATTTAAAATCCGTCGTTATTGTGGCAAGATTAGTTGCCATACCGGATTTTTATTATATTAATATTATTATTTGTTATTATGACAAGAATTTAATTATAGTCCGCTGTGGCAAGGTCTGCCATGACAAGGTTTGACCGTATTGTCATCCTACTTCTCAAGAGTTAATTTTATTCGGAACATTGGTTCTCAAATCCGTATAATAAAGGGAAAAGGTGCCAAGTTTTGTATTTTATTTCATTTATATTTATTCATTATTATTATCAAACAAACTCCAATTACACAAATATAAAGCTACACACTTTTTATTACTTTTGGCAGAAACGCGAGTTGATAATTGTGTTTTATTACAATACGCAAAACTATCGACCTTTTTTCAACAATTTGCAATTTTAAAAGCGAACATTTAATTTGAATATTTACGATTCGTTTACCGGATGATAAATAAATAAATATTTAAACAATGTTTCATTTGTAAAGTCAATCCATCGTCTGACGTCAAATGAAAAGGTTATGTGACCGTAAACGGCAAAATTATGGGCAATAATAATAACTATGAACCAATCTGCTGTACTAAACCAACCATGTAAAAAAAAACTGATCCGTAATTTAAAAATTCCATGTTTTCTCCAGAAATGTATCATATTCATGGAAAAAATCATTGAAAGATTACAGGGAAAGGTAGACTTTGTCACGGTTGCAAATCATGGAAATTTTCATGAAATAATGGATTATTCATTAGATTTTTGGTAAATTGGAGAATGAATATTTATTAATAGAATAAATGTCACTTGTTAAAAAAAAATAAATATAAAAAATAAATATAAAAATAAATAAAAGAGTTTTTTTTACCCCCCCCCCCCCCAAAAAAAGAATTAATGTATTCCCACTAAGCGATAAATCTCTAGTTCTTCTATTAAATGAACTTCTTTATCATTATTTCTAAGATCCAAGCCACATTCGTAAGAATAATTTTGGAAATTATAATAACAATAGGCTTCAGTTTCACTAAAATTATACACTCGTAAATCACAAAAATTAATAGAACCTTCTTTAAACACCATATCGTCCGAACTATGCTTAAAAGTTGGCTTAGAATGATACATTGCATATTTAGATTTTCTAATTCGACTTATGGTTGAATTATTTATTTGATTTTTGTCAATCTTAAAAATGAAGCTTTTGTCCGATTCAATCGAATAACCTTCAAATTCATCTCTTTCATCAAGATTCCAAGTAACAGGATTATATCCTCCAACTAATTCGTTTGTTTCTTTGAGTTTAATAATCGAAACGGTTTTTTCAATATCATAGCACTTTTCTTCGAAAACAAGTCTAGAAAATTCATCTCTGATCCCAGAAAAAATTAATTTGAACTTGTATGGTAAATTGTATTGGTTATAATCTTTTCCATTTATCCAACTTGTGATTAAACATTTCATTTCTGGGGTCAACAATTTACCTGCTCCGGTTCTTGGAGTATTCTGTGGTAACAATTTGGGTTGCCATTCATCTGTAACATAATATTTAAGAAGCTCTTCATATATACCTTTATTAATTGCCTTTTTATATGGCTTGATTTTATGATAAAAATCTCTGGTAGAAATCTCATTAAATCTTATTAATGGCACAACATCTTCCAAGTCAACTTTCAATTTTGCGTAATCTTCCTTGTTCCACTCCAAAAAATTTTTGTTTTTCAATTTTTCATATTGTCCTAATCCCCATTTAATCAAGCAATCAAAAATATCAACTTCGTCCATTTCTATATCGTCTTTGCCAATTATGGTTTTTAATAATGGTTTGTCAATTGACGCCAATTCACTAGATTTTAAAAAGATTTCTGGATTTCTATCAAAAAAACTTTGAAGCAAAGTGAATGATTGATGCTCAGACGATTTTCTGTAAACATCAACCAGATTCTGTTGAATCCACTTATCCTCTTTAACGATTAAATAGTTTTGCAAATCATCAATTAATTCGTTGATGTTTAATTCATCACATGCTATGAGGAGTTCAAAAATCTCATCTGGATTTAATTTATTCACATTTATGGTTCCATTGTAAATATATCTTTTTTTTTTTATAAATAAAATAATGATGATGATGATGTTATTGATAATGTTGATGTTTTTAAAATAATAATTATATATAAAAAATTTTACTTATTACAGCCAATTAACCAATCAATCAAGCAATAAATCAAATCAAATTAATCTTACGTTAAAAGAATCCCAAATATATTTGAAGAAATATTTTTTTTTTCAAATAAAATTATCCCATTCTCGGATCTTTTTATCCAATTATTTGATAATGCTGCCCTAAAGTATGGAGATCTTGCTTTCAAAATGATTGAATGAGCCTTATACGTTTTAACATCTCCTTCATCACCATCCACTCCACCACCAACTTTAATTTCTACATCATGAAAATCTGAACCGTTAAGCAATTCAGTAAAATCATTTAAGGTCTTACTGATATGCTTTAATGGTAAAGCATCTTCATAAATATCCATGATGCTTTTAAATAACGCATTCAAACTTTCCAAAGATAAAAATCCTCCAGACATCTTTATATAAAATGAAAATTTTGTTGTTGAGATGAATGATGAAAAAAAATTTTAAAAAAACAAAAATTACCTAAAAAGTTTTTTATCACCTTTTTTATTTGATTCACTTTTGCAGGATAGCATTTTTACAAATTTAGTTATATCAATTTGCTAAAAATAATCTCAAGCCACACCATAAATACATATGTAAACTCGATAAGTCGGCGATCTATATAAAGTCGCGATGAGCGCTAAGTCCGGTCAATCACTTAGCCCAAGTATAATTAAATGAATTCACAATAAATCGGTCTCACGTGATATTTATTATGTGAAGGGTCATCATTACTATTACTATTTTAGTAATGTGTGATTTAACAAAATAATTATTTGTAATAAATAGATGTAAAAAAACCATCATTTAGAAGCAAGAGAGCATTCTCGCTACATTCATATTTTATTACCTCCACCAGATCATACATCCATTTTTTCTTGTCAATTAACTTTAAAAAGAGAACTTTTTTCGCTTTAATCATTTGATGATTCATCATGAATAATGCATTAATATATTATTATCTCATCAGTTATATCATCAGAATTTAGAGAACATTTTTGTCTAATCATGAACAAATACATCTGTATTTATTTATCTCATCATTTTTATATCATCGCTTATATCATTGATTATCTAGTGTGAAGAAGTACATTCGCATTCCTATTAAATTTTATTATGTTCAGAAATATGTATAAAAAGATTGATTTCGCAACCTCCTAATGTTTGAGATAATAAGAAAGATAAATATATTTAAAATTTAAAAAATCACGTGAAATTCGATAACTCGGTTCTCTCGATAAGTTGGTCACAGGGGTCCGCTCCGACATGACCGACTTATCGAGTTTACATATTAATATGTAATGTTTTTGGCGAACAGAAAAATTATTAAACTTTTTATAATAGAAAATATACATTGCTTTGCACTTAACTTTACAATTTCTCATTTAAATTAGTAAGAAATTGCTATATACATTGAACGTTTTGCTTCTGGAGTACCGTTCTGGCTAAAAACTTTATGGGTATTGACGACCGCTGGATGGCAGAAGCTTAAACAATAATCTACTGCTACGTTTGGCTTAACACATTAAAAGTAAAGTCTATATGCTTCACTTTTCAGGTATATTAATGTATTAAAATCAATTTCTATCACATTTTTCATTCAATTGTAAAGAAAGATTGACGACCAAGTCACCTTCATTCCTTCATTGAATTTCTATTTGAATAAAAACAAAACTCTATTTTGTTTGTTTATTTATGATTAAATGCGTAAATTTACAAAACGAATATAATAAATAATCAATGATCATTATGATGATTTAATTAAATATTAACCAAGAAAATTTAAGACTTTTTTTATTACGAGTAAAAAATAAAAATAAAAAAATAAAATGTCACTCAATTAATTAATATTAATATTTATTAATCCAATTGTGTCTATCTATAAGATATTTATTATTCGTATAAATCACTATCTGCCTCCTGGCCAAAGCCAGAATTTGTAACTTCCATAGCATTACCCCCACCACTTGGACCATCTGTGGAACTACCGCCAACGCCCCCCTCAGGGAATTTGAAACTAGATCCAAAACCTCGAGATTGTTGAAGGTTTTGTGCAAACATTTCATATTTACGGATATCATTGTCAGAAACTGAACGACGTGCAAATTTCATTGCTTCTTCAAAGTGCGATCTATAATGATAACAACGTTATTACTATATTTATCTTGTAAATAAAATAAAAAAAAAGTAAGAAATAATCTCTTGTCGAACCTGGTAATTTCTGGTACGGGATCCACCTCTTCTTCCATATCTTCGTCCATTAATGCTTCTTCGCCGGCTTCTATTCTATCTTTACGTATCCTTTCACGTTCTCTTTCCTTTTCAATACTTTCTCTAATTGCTAATTTGCAAGCACGTTGACAAATTTCTGTTAAATCTGCTCCAGAAAAACCATGTGATTTATTAGCTAGGAAGCTTAAATCTACATTTAAAGCTATAGGTGATTTTCGTAATATTGATGTAAGGATTGCCAATCTTGATGGCTCATCGGGTAAAGGAATGTAAATTAATTGATCGAGACGTCCAGGTCGAAGTAAAGCAGGGTCTATTTGGTCAGGTCTGTTGGTTGCTCCAATAACAAATACATTTTTCTTGGCGCTCATACCATCCATCTCGGTCAAAATTTGATTAAGTACACGATCACCTGCACCACCACCATCACCATATGAAGAACCACGTGCTTTTGCAATAGAATCCAATTCATCAAAAAACATCACACATGGTGCTGCTGCTCTTGCTTTATCAAAAACATCACGTACATTTGCTTCAGATTCACCAAACCACATAGTCAACAACTCGGGTCCCTGTTAATAACAACAGCAAAACATTGTAAATAATAAATATTTTAAAAATAAAATATTAATTATAATCCCTAGATGTTACTGACCTTAATACTAATGAAATTGGCTTGACATTCATTGGCAATGGCTTTTGCTAATAAAGTCTTACCACAACCAGGCGGTCCATAAAATAATACACCTTTTGAAGGTGACATACCAAATTTTAAGAATTTCTCTGGATGCTCCACAGGATATTGTACAGTTTCTTGAAGTTCTTGTTTAACTTTCTCAAGACCTCCAATATCACGCCAAGTAACGTTGGGAACTTCAACGACTGTTTCGCGAAGAGCTGATGGATTTGAAACCCCTAAAGCATACTATATATACGTGTGTATGTGTTTATATTATTCAAGTAAATAAATAGAAGGAGCATATATAAATTCATAAAATAAAATAATAAAAGCATACTTTAAAGTTATCCATAGTTACTGCCAAAGAATCTAATATTTCAGCATCAATAGTATCATCTTCTAAATCGAAAGCATCCATTTTCTCACGAATTTGTTGCATTGCAGCTTCTGAACATAAAGAAGCTATATCAGAACCAACATAACCATGAGTTTCTGATGCGATCTAATTTTGGTAGAAGATTGATATAAAATAAATAAATTTTTTTTAAAAAAAATCTCCCTCAATAAACCACACGTAACAACGTACTTTTTCTAAATCAACATCATCTCCTAATTTCATGTTTTTTGTGTGAATTCGTAAAATTTCTAAACGTCCAACTGGATCAGGAATACCAATATCAATTTCACGATCAAATCGTCCAAAACGCCTAAGTGCAGGATCAATACTATTTGGACGATTAGTTGCTGCCATTACAACAATATTTGATCTAGCTTTCATACCATCCATTAATGTAAGGAGTTGAGAAACAACTCGACGTTCTACTTCACCGTTTGTCTAAATGAATTAAAAGAAATTTAATATATATATATATCTATCTAAAAAATACAATTAAATATTATTAATAAACAAAAACCTTTTCACGTTTTGGAGCTATAGCATCAATTTCATCAATAAAAATTATGGCAGGACTATTTTTTTCTGCTTCTTCGAATGCTTTCCTCAGATTACTTTCAGATTCACCAGCCATCTTTGACATTATTTCAGGACCGTTAATTAAAAAGAAGAATGCACCAGTTTCATTGGCTACTGCACGAGCGATTAAAGTTTTACCGGTACCAGGAGGCCCAAACATAAGAATACCTCGTGGTGGTTTAATACCAATTGATTTGAAAAGTTGAGGATGTCTGAGTGGAAGTTCAACAAGTTCACGAATTTGTGCCATTTGTTTACGACAGCCACCAATATCATCATAGCCTACATCATTAAGATTTGATTCTTCATCTTCACGTTTAATTGCTTCACCTTCACAATGTATCACTGTGTCTTGTGTAACCTTTTATTTTAATATTTTTTTTATTTATTATGAATTTAATAAATCAATTTTTTTAAAAAAAAACATCGGAAAACAAACAAAAATAAAGTGATTAGAACTTACAATACAATAATCTGCTGGTTCTGTTTCTACAACTTTAAATTCAACACCTCTCATGGCAGCTCTAACTAAAAACAAATCACCTTTTCTTACAGGTCTGTATGCTTCCAAAAAATAAGGCTTCAAGTATACTTCGAAAAGGTTTCCTGTTACTCCTTCAACTGTATCATCAATTGGCAATACATGAATTCTCTTTCCATATTTGATTTCGGTACATGGATGTATTGATATTACATCTCCAAGACGTACTCGTAAGTTGTTTCGTACAACTAAAAAATAAATAAACATATATTCATAAAATTATTAAATAAGAATAAATGAATATATAGATTAAATATTAACCTTTATTAATTTTTACTTTAGAATCATCACAACTATCATCTGCTAAAACAATTAACACTGTATCACGTCTTTTTTTGCCTTTTACTAATACAGTATCGCCACGGAAAAGTTGCAATTTTTCCATAGTGGCTGTAGAAAGTGCCATCACAGAATTATCATCTTGGGTTGCATCATCTACAATAAGCTTATTTTTTGCGGGTTTATCACGAAGTATAGCTGTTGCTGGATCATTATTAGAAGGTTGATTTTGCGCTGGATTGTCAGAAACATCACTATAAATTAAGAGTTCATTTAAAATCTTTATTAATTGAACCTTAAAAATACTCTCATCCTAAAAATAGTTTTTCTAAAAAATTAAGAGTAGAAGAGCCAGATAACTTTAAATATACATACATTTCTTTACCCTTTCCTCCTGTCATTGTTTTTTATGGACTTTTAAGTAAAATTTTAATAAATCGTAAGCTTTATGAAAAAATAAACTTTGAACAAGTAGGAGAAAAATAGAATTTGTTAGACAAATATTTTTTTTTTTAATCCCTTGAAAAAATAATTATTATTATTAAACATACAAGTAATTTATTAAAATGATATTTAATTTGAACGATTTAGTTAGTAAAAAAACCTCAAAAAAAGGACGTATATATAGAAAAAGAAGAAAGGATTATTATTACGTTAATAGGAACACTTTATTTGGAAAGTTACGTTATGTCAATTAATCATAGAGGAAACGTCATCATGATACTTACTATTATCGTATTCCGTGCTACCTGTGTTACTTGCATACAGTGTTGTGCCATTTATGGTTCTAATTACATATTAATATGGTTGTTTGCGATAATTACAGATTCTCAACATTTTTTATATGGATGATAAATATTATGCCATTTGAGTTAAAGAATTACAGGATAATTTTGGCAACTATTAGTTAATTATGGCAACTATGAAAAACTAATTATGACATTACAAATATGGCAATGATCATTAAGAAGAAGTCGAACAACTTGTACAGTCAACCCTCCACAAGTACACAGTCTATCAATGCATACCTCCACAAGTGCACCTATGTCTCATTCCCAAGATTGAGACTTAAGAGATAAATGCATCCCTCCATAAATACACTGCACGGTCTTTTCCCAATCTCTCTAAATGCACGTCCGTGACTTTCACGTGATTAATAAAACTTTGTTACAGATCTGAGTGCTTACAGATTAGGGTTTTCAGGAAAAAAAATCTCAGGAGAATTCCTAAATCTGTATTAATGGATAATTAAAAAAGAAAAAATTAATATTAATTTGATTCTTTATGAGTAACAATGGTTTAATTAATGCTTTGTTCTCTATCTGTAACATCATCATCATCCCCTTGCAAATTTTCTAATTTTACAAAGCGTTACTGAATTTAATTCAACTGGGACTGTCACCTGTGGCAAGATTTTTAACTGCACCCAAAAACTTTCGATATAGTAATAGTGATATTTTGGATAAGCATATCATTTTATGTCCTGCATTTTCTGATTCCTTGTCACAAAATCACAATTAGAACAATTAGAAGAAATAGTACAACGATTTTTCAATCAATAAAATTATTCCGACTCGACTATCCAAAATTATTCTGACTTTATGTATAATTCAAATGACGAAAGCCTTGTCAAGGAAGAGGTAAGAGCACACAAACTAAAACCGCTTCTGGACATGCCCCAAGATTTGTTAGGGTGGCTCAGTAGCTATCAATTAGTACATATTTCAGACGAAGGAAATTTAAATCAATAGTAGAAATTTTTTCTTTAATATTTTGTGTATTTAGAAATAATCAGTTATTTTCTAAAAGGTTTATTAATAAAAATTATCTAACAATTTTAAAAAATGTCATTTTTTCCATTTGATAAATAATTTAAATATATTAATTTTCTGACACGGTGACAAGGTTACTAGCATCTGACTTTTTGTATGGCCCTCGGCAAAATTGCAATGATTGATGGATTGTTCCATAAGTTATATTTTTTTCAACTATCTATGGCAGAGTAGAATGAATTCGGAAATAATGTGGCTAGGTGTAAATAATATACCGTATTTTCATTTTTGGAAATATCTTTTTTATCATGTAAAATTGAAATTAAAAAATTAATACGAATATTATAATGCAATAAGAATTTGATTGTCCAATTTTCCCAATCATTGGCTTTGTTCCGCCAAATGGACATGAACGATATAATCCGTCAATCTCGGGTTCTTCGTATCAGTTAATTTTAAAAATAATCTTTTTCTATTACCTATATAATGAAAATATATATTCAGTATATACATAAAATATATATGTGTAAAGGAAAACAAACAGTTCACCCATCTTTATGAAAAATATTAACTAACTCTTTAAATTTATTCCTCGTAAGTTTACTTTACAAAATTTGTACACGTGCTTAATTACTGAGTCCAGGAATATTACTGCACATGTCATTAAAAATTATGTGTGAATGCAAATTCTTTAGAATTTGTTGTTTTACATTCTTCTTATTCTTTGGCCCGTAACCAGGTTCGAAATCAGCGATCGTTAATCTCTGCATCAAAAAAGTCACGTGTAACATACTCTTGAAATATTTGCTGTTAATTGGTTGAATAACTTTGCCGATCTGAATAATGAATCAAGAAAAACAAGGAAAAGCAGTCATTTGGAATCATTTGCCAACACTGGAAAGAAGCACATTTTATAATAGTCGAATGATATGTCACAGTGAGTGTAATTTCATAGTATCATATACTAATTCAATCGGTCGAAGTTTAATAGCAACAGCTTTAAAAAAATTTTTAAATAGATAATATGAAATGATGATGTGATGGTGTAATTATATTATTATTGTGCACTAAATTTGGAAAACAATTAATGTATTTTTATCGATCAATTCACATGCAAATTAAAATAGTATGAGGAAGATTTAAAAATCCTTTGATTCAAAAGAGTTATGAGAATCTTGTCACCCTTGCGGGTGCAAAGTTACAGTAGATTGGCAAATGGAAGAAGTAAATACCTATAATATACATAAATAATAACAACTAACGCGATGATCCACCACTTGTCACCTATTACACCCGAAGAACATATTCCTCGGAATGGAGGAAACATAGTTGTCATCTTTAATTTTTACTTCTTTGAAGTGGTAATAATTTAAGAGTACCTCGTCAATGAACTTTGCGTCATCAAAATAGCCTTGTAATACCACAGGAACAGACAAGGTTTGAATTATATTGGCAAAATACCGAACTACATAGTTGATGATACTTTCTTTTGTTAGATTTAACATGCTGGTGATTTAGATGATCTGTCGTTATTTATGAATTCCCTTCCTCAATGGTAAAATGCAAAATCCTTATATGAGTTGTGTAGCAAAGAAAATACAATCATTAGCCACCAACAAAACTAGAAATGGGATGAATGACCCTTTTTAGAAGGCGCGAGTAGAAGGAAAGCAGGTATGAAGGGAATGCTAATTCATACAGCTGTCAACCTTGAGCGACATACGTGCGGAGAGGCCTCGGGAAGATTAGGTTCGTTTGGATTGAAAAAGTGCAAATCGAGAAAAAAGATTATATCACGATGTGAGATCAATCAATAAAGAATCGTCGATAAACAAAAAAGGCCTTTAGCATATATGAATAGGGTCCAAGCAAATGTGTTTACCTTCTTGACACCTTACGTTGCTTGAGGATTGCTTGATATAGGAATGGAATATATTTATTTGAACTTTGTTATTACTGACAAATGTATATTGTCGACGGAGGAAAAATATTTATTTATTGTATAACACTTATTTCATAATAATACAAAAATAGCAAAAAAAGTAACAATCAGTTGAGGCAAACAAATAACCCCAAAAACTAAAACAGATTTTACCGTTTACAAAATTAGTATTAATATTAAATATTAGTATAGTTATTAGGTAGGTTCTTTTGAATTTATTTTATTATTATTTACATTAATTATCCCTGCTATAAACTACTAAATTTTGATCCCCTGCGATTTCTTTGTTCACACTATATTCTCTCATAATTAATAAATATTAAAAAATTTTTTTTGCTTCACTTCTTCTTTATAAAAATAAAAATAAATTCTAATAATTAATTAATAAATAGTAATCAATTGTTCAAAAGAAAAAACATTTTATTTTATTCCTTGCAACTTAATAACAACAACAAACTAATTGTAAAAAGAAAAAAAAAGAAAAATTTATTATTTTTCTTTACAACAAAGAACAACATAATGGTAGAAAATTTCATTGGTGCCACTTTGCAAGTTGAGCTTACAAACGGTTCCTCTTTAGAAGGAATAGTTTCACATATTGACTCTCATACTCAACTTTTAACTTTAAAAGATGGTAGGTTCCTCTTTAATATAATGTATAAAATTCTTTTGGATTTCTTCGATATAATATACACTAATATATAAATCTACTGTTGATTTAAAAAAAAAATAAACGCATAATAGTAACATTCAATTCTAATGATGGAAACACCGAAAAAAAGGCATTTCATGGAGTACCTGGAACAGACATTAAAGATTTAAAAATAATTAAAGCTTCATATAATCTAAATAATAATATCATTACTGAACCAATAAATAGTAATACTACTACTAGCAATAAAGCTGCTTCTTCTTCATCTTCCTCAAGTATATATTCTTCTACCACAACTGTTCCTACTTCACAACAAAATGTGCTACTATCGAAATCTCCATTTTCAGATCCTGCAATTATTTCGGTTAGTTTTTTACTTGTTTAATTAATAAACAACAATAACAATGACGAATTGGAAAAAAAATTTCTTTTATTGATGTTTTTTATAAACATACATAGTATTCTTCTCAGGCACCAAACATAGTCTCACCAAATAATCCATTGATTGTTAATTTATCGAGGTAAAAAGAAGTAATAATAATAATGATTAATTAAACACGTATTTTAAAAAAAATCCTAATTAAATTAATTTTTTTTAGAACGACATCGCCATTATTTGTATGTATTTTTTTCAAAAATCGTCTCTTTGTTTTAAATTAATATGATAATAATAATAATAATCGTTGTTTAACTACAACAGCAACAAGAAAATAATTTTTATATTGAATCCCAAACCCTAAAGAAATCTTCAACTACTACTCAGACAACAGGTTCCATCGCAGACACTGATTCAAAAGGTGACGAGGAGGAGGAAATAAATGAGGAAGAACATAATTACGGACATAATTCATCATCATCAAGAAATAATAAACCAAATGGATTTCATAGAGGCGATTCGAGCGCACTCGAATCAGATAATGGAATGTACAATCACAAAAGACCTTCAAGGAGGCGAAGGGTTATTGTCATATTTTATTTATTTTTATCACTATAAATCTTTTAAAATAAAATAAAAATTTCTAACTTTTTTTTTGTTTTACTTTTTAAATAATAATAATATTAGAATGGAAATAGTAATTATTATTATAATTATTCTGAAAATTATTCAAGTAATTTTTAAAAAGATATAATTAAAAGAATCTAAATAATTATTAATTTTAAATAATGTAATTAATTAATTTCCCTCTTCATTTTATCTTTTGACTCATATAACATCTGTCACGCATATTAGCAAGAAGACCCAGAAAAGGACGTAATCAAACACATGAATGGGCAGGCGGTGATGTAAATGAATTTAAATCGGAGGAATTTGACTTTCAGGGCAACTTGGATTTATTTGATAAAGAAAAGGTTTTTGCAGAAATTAGAGTAAGCAATAAAAAATTTCATCATCATCATCATCATCATTATTTCAGATGTTAATATTTAATTTATTATTATTTTGTATGCGCAATTTATTATTTATTAGGAATCAGATTATACGGCACCTGAAAATCTTCTTGTTAATATTAATCGAAATACAAATTATCGAACGAATAATCATAATTACAATAATCACAATGGTGGTAGTAATCATCATCGCAGCAACAATCATCATTATGATAATTATAATAATGGTTATCATCGCAACGGTGTAAATAATAATCATCATTATTCATCAAATAATCATCATAATCATAATCATAATCATAATTATCATAATTCACAACCAAAGCTTGCATCAAATGAAAATGTTCTTGAATCTTCATCTCGTAAACTAAAATTTTATCATACTGAAGGAGAGGAGGAAGAGGATGAGACAGCTAATGATGCGGAAGTTGATTCCGATGATGGTTGGAAAACTAAGAAAAAAATCAATGGAAATGGCAATAGTAATGGTAGCGCTAATGGCGATCATAAAAAAGTAAAGATAAGAACTTTAACTGGAGTATTTTGTCCAACCGTTCAACCTACACAGATGGCAGAAGTTGAAAGACTTGCTGGTAATAATTTTATCATCATTTTAAATAGACTATGTTTTATATTCTATTATTAGCATTTGATACATTAATGAATTTTAATTGATTAAATATAGCTATAGAAACTGGTCCTAATGAAGATCAGATGATTGAAAATGCGGGAAGAGGTGCTTCGATGATGTGTCTTCAGGCACTTGGTACATTATTTATTTTACACTAATCATTAGTTTATAATAAAATATATAAAATATAAATAATTTAATTGCTAATTAAATTTAAAAAAAAGGTGGATCTAGACGTATTCGACCAAATAACCATAATGCAGCTCCACTTGTTGTATTACTTGTCGGTAATAATAAAACTGGTGCATATGGCCTTGCTACCGCCAGACATCTTGCAAATCACGGATGCCATGTTATTGCATGTGTTGTTAGTAAAGAGAAAGATTTGCTTAAGGTATGTATATGTGAATAATGAAGTATACTAGAAAATTTTTTTGTTATTTCATGTTTATTATTTATTCAATTAATTAACCAATAACAATAATAATTTAGAGTGTTGCGCTTCAACAAAAATTTTTACTTCCAACTGGTGGCAAAGTTGTTAAGACTGTAGAAGGTGATTATAAATGCAAATCACTCATTATAATATAAAATTAATGATCGCATACAAAAATAAAAATATAAAGCTAATTATTATTATTATTATTATTATTATTATTATTAGAACTGCCACAACAGTTGACCACTCCTGTAGATCTTATTGTGGATGCTTTATTAGGTTATCAACTTTCTTTGCATGATATTTCGAACGAATATGATAAAAGTTTAATATGTGATTTGATGGAATGGGCTAATATCAATAAAGCTCCTGTTTTAAGTTTGGATATGCCAAGTGGTGTTAATGGAAACACAGGTAACTAACTTGTAATAAACTGATGGGACATATTTTATACATTATGTTAATCTAATAATCGGTTTTTTTTTTTAGGGTATCCTGTTAACTCAGCTCACCATGTTCGACCCAAATGGACATTATGTTTAGGTGCCCCTAAAAATGGATGTAGAAATCGATCAATAACTGGAGAATTATTCTTAGCTGATATTGGAATTCCACGTGTTTGTTGGAAAAAAATTGGAGTAAAAGGATGGGGAATGCCTTGGGGTAGCGAATATTTAATTGGGTTGGAATATGAATAGTGATAATTGGTAGCAATAATTATTTTAGACCTTTAAAAAAATTTGATTTTAAAAAAAATCTCTCTTTTTCTTTGTTTTATTTCTAAAAAAAAAAAAAAATCCCATGACCTGTTCTAAAGATGAAAAATTTAAATTAACTATTAAATTAAATTAATAATTTATTTTGCATTCGTAATAATTCTTATTTTATTGTTTTTTCCCTTTTTTTATTGTCATTATTCACTCTAATTCATTCATCAATTCATTCATTCATTCATTAATTAGCTAATTAATTAATTTCTTCTAAATTTACATCCAATTAATCCATTCAATCAATCAAGCATTAAATTATCGCACAAAACCTCCTTTTGAAAATTTTATCATTCTTTTAAATTAATTTGTAATCTTTTAATATTCAATTTTTTTTAAAAAATCTTTTATTTCCTTTATTAGTAAGAAAAAAATAATTCAAGGAAAATAGATGTAAAAATTTATATAAATTCATTGCGATAAAGAAAAAGAATTAAAGAGAAAGAGAGAAAAAAAAAATATTTATTTCAAAAAATCCCAACTATAAAATAAAAATCAATTCAAATGATCAACCTCATAATAAATATTAAATTCACGCGCTGAAACTCAATCAGAATTTTGTACCTCAAAATTTTTCAAATTTGTTAGTATTAGTATTAGTGTTGCTAGTCGCGACTGGAAATTTTCAAGTCGGTCGAGTCGCGCGACTGGATTTCAGCTGCGACTAGATTTTAGTCGTGACTAGAAATCATTTCATCAATAATAATATTTTAACCATTTCAATGAGAGAAATATATACATATGTTACGTGCCAAATTTAAATTTGCGGTATGCGTCAGTTTAAAATTGACACAACTTTATTTTCATGTATAAAGAATATTAAATCTGGATAATGATAAATTATTGAAAGTGATGTCTTTCTTGACGAGTAAAAATATTAGTAAATCAATATAAATAATGATTGTTTAAACATTGTTTCTAATAAAAAACGAATAAATAAATGAACATATAAATCATCAACTTACTGTAGATAGTTTGACATTTCATTTGGATGTTGTTTCCAATTGAAATCCCAGGAACCTTTGCAGATTTTCCTGACCTCACCACATCAGGAAAATAAATCTTACATAAACCTACGCAGGGTTTAAAACTGACCAGCATTATGCGGAAATGTTAACAGAATTACCAAAATATCGACATAATGCTGGCCAATTCTGAACCCTACGTAGGTTTATGTAAGATTTATTTTTCTGATGAAAGCCCTTAATATTAAAAAAAAACTACAAATGGTTTCTCTGCTGACATCTGAAGGTACTCAATATGAAAATTAAAAAACCGACTCTTGGTCAAAGCAAGTTCTTTCAATTATTATAATTGGTTGGGTTCTAAATGGTTGATATAATGGAAGTATCACGTTAAACTTGTCTGTATATATTAATATATAAGCTGTTTTAGAATAGATTTCCAAATTCGGAAATCTCCCTGACAGTGTATACCCAAGGCTTGGGACTTTTTATATATGAATTGATCGGCAGATTAATAAAATGGTAATATTCCCCTCCCCAAATGCAATAGACTGGTTTTTTTTGCTCATAAGAATAATTGCAAGGAATAAAAATTATAGAAATAAATAATTGCTTCGTTCAATTGAATTCATTATTACATTCTTTTGGTAAGAAATATCGAGAAGTTGAACTAATAGTATATATACAACTCATTAATAATATACCATTAAAAAAAAGAATAATAAATAACGTGACATGTGGCAATAATAATATATTATCAATTATTAAGAGTGTAGTCTTATTTACCTATTACGATTAGAATATTTTCTTTGGACAGAAGGTGTTGTTTTATGTAACGTTTGTTATATGAATTTCGTAGAAAATCCTTTAAAAAGAGGATCTAGGAGAGCAAAAACTACAGATGAGGAAGGAGAAGCGGAAGAAGAAGAAGAAGAGGAAGAGGTAGAGATAAGTGAAAAGATTGATTTTACTAAAGCCATCAAAATGATTGCTAAAATCTTTTATGAAAGAGAATATAATAATAAAGAAGGTCCTATATACGAATTTGATGAAATGCGAAGATTGCTCCAAGAAACAGAACCAAGCTTGAGGGGGTTTTTTGACCAACTCTATTTAGCAGCTCGGCCATTTGAACGTAATGAACAAACAATGGACCGTATGAAGAGATTAATGGTGTTCATATGTTATCTTCTTGCTTCATTAAATAATACAAAAATTAACTCTTTTAAGTTTGACCTTGCATTCTATTTAGATTCGGTAGGTACAAGTAATGAAGGTCTAAATACAATGGCAAACCTTGGAGCAACCACAACATCAAGAGCAGTAGATCATAAAAAAAAGCAAGTTGCAGATGAACATAAGAAATATGTAGAGAATGCACTTACAAAATATTCAAAAAGTGCATTCATGTTGAATGTTGATGATCATCATAGCATTCATGTCCAGAGACAACCTGATACTACTACTACATCTTGGGCAGCACATATGGTGATTATTGTAACAAATCCATGTCCCAACATGGCATGGCTTGATATAGATGATATTGTTTATTCTAAGTTTGGTTGTACATGTAAAAACATTGAATTTTTATACTTAACCGATCTTTTGAGCAATTTAATCCCTTTAGTTCTTGACATTTACGCAGTGCACCATCGAGAAGGTAACTGGCTGGCTTATGAGGAAGCTTGTATGCATTGCTGGAGTGATCTTTTTCTTCAGTTTGATAGAAGAAATTATAAGCATGCACCTTTAATGTTTTTTTCTGATATCTTTTATTGGATGGAGACAAATCATCCGATGATTGATATTTTTACTAATTATCTTGCCTCTTTAAGTGATAGCCCTGTAGAAATCATTCACAGCATTATTCGATGACATATGGCTAATTTTTTCACTGCACAACAACTGCAAAAGGAGGCACGTTTTATTTTTCAACATCAAGAAAATAATGCTTTTCAACAACATTTCATAAATTCCATGAAGTATCCATATACACCAAAGCAATTACATATGCTTTCACGAAAGTGTGCTGTATTGCTTTTAGATGTATTTACAAAGATATATCAAGCACAAAATCAGTATCCTTTGATTACTAAAACTTCATCTAATGGTATTAACTCATACAAATTACCTTCTTTAGTTTACGAAATAACCGATCGTCACCT